CGCCGTGGCCAATTTGGACAAGGCATCTGCATGAGCATTCTCCTCCCTTGGGACATGCGTGAACGTAGCTTCCCGAAACCATGCACACTTCTCTTTGACGGAGCGAACGTATGCGCCTAGCGCCTCCTCTTTCACTTCGTACACATGGTTCAACTGATTGACCACCAGCGCTGAGTCAGTTTGAACATTAACCTTCTAGGCGCCTAAGTCCCTTGCCATGTGGAGCCCTGCTAGCACCGCCTCATACTCCGCCGCATTGTTCGTTTTAAGGGTTGCAAAACGTAGGGCGACTTCATGCATGGCGCCCAGTGGACTAATCAGCACAATACCTGCTCCCGCACCAGCTCGACTCGCCGCACCATCAACCTGAATTTGCCAACACTCTTCCGTGCCGCTTCCCGCGTCAACCACTCCTTCGGCCACGAAATCAGCCAACACTTGTGCTTTGATGGCTGGTCGGGGCGCATAGCTCACATCGAACTCACTCAGTTGAACAGCCCACTTAACCAGGCGCCCGGACACATCCATGGACCCCAGGACCGTTCGGAGAGGTAAATTCGTGAGCACGACAATGCTGTGAGCCTGGAAGTAGGGTCGGAGCTTGTTCGCCGCCATTACTACCTCCAACGCCGCCTTTTCAATAGGCGCATACCTTGTTTCGTGCACCACCATAGTACGACTTACATAGTACACCGGCCTCTCCTCATTCGTCAACGGATCTTTGGACACCAACACCGCACTCACAGCAATCCGTGAGACTGCAATGTACAAGTATAGAGTCTCTTTGGGCCTAGGCGCCGTCATCACCGTAGGCGCGGTCAGCAACTTCTTTAGGTCCCCGAACGCCTCGTCGCACTCCTCTGTCCATTTGAACTTGCTAGCCTTCTTCAACGTTCGGAAAAAGGGGGCGCCTCTATCTGAAGCTCTTGGAATGAAGCGCCCGAGCGCTGCCAATCTTCCCGTCAACCCTTGCACTTCCTTTGGGGTTCGGGGGGGCGTCAACCTCATAATTGCTTCGACTTGCTTGGGGTTGGCCTCAATTCCTCTCTTAGTAATCATGAATCCCAAGAACTTACCAGCCTCCGCAAGGAACACACACTTCTGCGGGTTTAGCCGCAGTTTGTATGAGCGCATGGTCTCAAACGTCTCTCGCAAGTCTGCAATGTGATCTTGGCGCCTCTTACTTTTCACGATCAAATCATCGACATATGCCTCCACGTTCCTTCCCAACTGCTTACGAAAGATTTGATTCACCAAGCGCTGATACGTGGCGCCTGCATTCTTCAATCCAAATGCCATCACCCTATAGCAAAAGTTTCCAAAGGGCGTCATAAAAGCGGTCTTTGCCCTATCTTCCTCCACCATGGGAATCTGATGATACCCCGAAAACATATCAAGGAAGCTAAGCGCCTCATGGTAGGCGGTAGCATCCACCAGTATATCAATACGTGGCATTGGGTAGGCATATGTAGGGCACGCCCGGTTAAGGTTTGTGAAATCTACACACATCCTCCAATCCCCTGATGGCTTTGGGACAAACACCACGTTTGACAGCCAAGTGATGTATCTGGCCTCCTCGACGAACCCGGCCTCAAGTAATTTATCGACTTCCTTTCGCAAGGCTTCTTCCTTTTCTTGAGTCAAATTCCTTCGTTTTTGTTGAACAGGCCTCTTACCCTCCTCGACAGCCAAGCGATGCGCCGCCACCTCTGGGGACACTCCCGGCATGTCCTGCGGGCTCCATGCAAAAAGCTCCCCGAATTCTCGCAATAAATCGATCAAGGGCGCCCTCATGTGCTCTGGGGCCTGTGCTGACACTCGTACTTGGCGGTCCAGGCGTCCCTCTTCGATTGGTACGCTGAACTCATCATCCACGGGCTCCGCCCTAGGCGCTTCGTCCGGTCGGATGTCTATGTTGTTCACTCGGTGTCTCCGCGCGCCCCTTTTTCTACACTCCCCCTCTCGCGCATAACGGGGCGCGCTCTCTCCTCTTGAAATTCCTATGCCCTGCGGAGCAACGAACTTCAACGTTTGATGGCAAGTTGATGCTACTCCATTGAATAATGCCAAAAGGGGTCTTCCTAGTATGACATTGTATGGCGAGGGGCAATCCACTATCCCAAATTCCACTGCATGTGTCACCCGATGCGTTTCGTCACCCAATGTTACCGGAAGGCGCACGCGCCCAATCACATGGGCAGGCGCCCCCGAGAATCCTATCAGCACTGAATCAGAGGGGCTCACCAGCTCCGGCGCCAACTGCATGCGCTCAAACGTGCTCTTGAACAACACATCCATCGAACTTCCCGTATCCACCAACATCCTTTTGACCCTACACCCCGCGATGACCCCTTGTATCTCCAAAGCCTCCTCCGAGGGCACTTGACATGCTTCATCCGCCTCCTGATTAAAGCATATTTGGACCGCCGCCTTTGCCTCCACGGATGCAGCCCTGAGGCGCCTAGATCGATCCAACTTGTCTCGCAAGTCAATAGTTCCAGTTATAGACTCCACTGTGAGTCTAACTCGGTTAGGCTCTCCTTCCTGATTTACCTCGAACGGAGGTGGGGGTATCTCACATTGGGGCGCATGAACCTCAGGCACTTGTTGCATGGCGGGGAGGTTGTGCGCCTTTGGTTCAGTCAACACGATGGGCGCCGGCCTTGTCTCCCTTGCGACATACGCGCGGTGAGCTCGCTCCTCCGTTTTTCTTATGAAGTCATTGAGCATTCCTCGATCAGCTAGGGTCTGCAACTCCGATTTCAGTTGGTAGCAATCAGCCGTATGATGCCCCTTATCCCGATGGAAGTCACAATATCGGTCTAGGTTTCGTTCGTTTGGTTGCCCACGCATAGGTCCCGGCCAACGCACATGATACCCCCTGTCCTTTACGTATTGCAGAATGTTCTTCAAAGAATCATTATATTCTGTGAAATTCCCCGTACTCCTGGGTGGTGGGCGCTGACCCTCCATCCTCCTCTGTGGAGCATGGTTCACTACGAACGGCCTTGGAGCCTGGCGTACCTCAATTTCCTCTCTACCGACACGCCTTTTCTCTGCCCTCCTTGCAGCCAATGTTTCTTCCAAGGCAATAACCTTCTGCACCCTTCGATCTAAATCTTCGGTCGACACAACGACCCTCTTGGACAGCACCCGACACAACTCCTCACTATTCGTACACTCCTCCAGACACACTCCTAGGACCGGCGGCTGCACGTCCTTCACGGCCATTGCGACCGAGATCCAACGGTCATAAAATTCTCTAAGTGCCTCCCCATCCCTCTGTTTGATCTTGAACAAAGCGCCTATAGTCAGCGTCCTCCGCTTTCGGCTAGCAAACTTAGACAAGAACAACTCTGCAAATTGTTCAAAGCACTCTATGCTCCCTTCCTCTAACTGATGATACCAATCCAATACCACTCCCGCGAACGTCGATGGGAATACCTTACATAACGTGGCGTCCGTGCTATTGTACAGCTGCATCTTCGTGAAGTAGCTATTTAGATGATCTTCCCGGTCAGTGACTCCATCATAGCTGGTCAGCGGCGGGAGAGTAGTCCCCGCGGGTTCCATCAACACGCTTGGCGCTAAGGGTTGCCTGATCCCAAAGCGCCTGGCCTGTCGTTTAGGCGTCCAGGGATTTTGTTCTTCTTGCCCCGGGACGGCCCATTCTCCTGGCGTTCTCCACACGCCTGGGCGCGTAGGCGGTGTTATCTCCGGATTGGGAACCTCATAGCCTGGGCGCCCATACTCGCTAACCTCCGAATCATCTAGGAGCTTATCCCGCTTCCTTACCGGGGGGCTGTACTCCCTCGCATCCACGCTCCTTCCTCCCTCCAATTCCCTCCGTAGCATGGCTATCGCCCGGTCCTGGTCAACGATAATCTTAAACAGCTCCCTCTTTGACAACGAATCACTTTCCATAGACGGGCGCTCATGACTCTCATCCTCTACCTCCATGCTCACCATGGGACTAGATCGCTGCTCACTCCCCTCACGGCTGGAATCCTCCGCCCCTATCTCCTTAGCGCCCACACTTCCTGCATTCAAGTCCTCCATCTTTCAAAACTTGCCGAACGCCCCCCTTCCTGGCGCGCCAATTGTTTGTGCCTTGATACCTCTTCCCCCGCCTCGCGCCTACTTCCGTCCACACCGGGCGCCTGGGCCCTACAAGACTAACGCCTAGAGGGCTTGGCCCCTCCGTTAGCACTCCAACGATCAAGTTAGAAGTGGTTTTAGAGAGAGAAGTGAGGAGAGAAGTTTTAGTGTGAGAAGACCGACCTGCTTAAATGCTACCTACCGAGTGCTATTTATACTACTCGAGCTCCTCGACCACCCTCCGACCAACTCCTGCCACAAAGCCTTACGTCATTCCCGCATTAAATGCCTGGTCTGGTCCAACGCCTACGCGCCTACACGTGGCACGCTGTCCATCTTCCACGTCGGGGCGCATAGGGGGGCCACTTGCCTCGTGGCTCCCTTCCGATTCCACTCGTCCGTACTTCCTTGTCTGCGAGTCTATTTTGTCGCTATGCGCCCCTCTTCTCTTGAGACTGCCTAGGTCATGCCCTAGGGAGGCCATGAATGGGCTTCAAGCCCAACAGGCTTTTTGACTTTCATGGGCTCTTCTCTACTACCCCAAATAGCCAAAAATGGGCTTCAGGCCCAACAGGCTTTTTGACTTTTATGGGTTCTTCTCTACTACCCCAACAATAATGAACACGAAGGATATAACAATTTCATTGATATATACGCATAACTGCGTCGTGTTATACATATGAGAAAAGCTAGAGACGCATTTATTGATACCATTTTCGTATGGTATCTCGACCACATTTACGTGGAGATTACAAGACTATAACAGACACGTACGTATGTTTCAGTTTTTACCCATACAAATGAGCAGGCAGGCGAGGAGACAACTGAACATCCAACGGAGAAGTCCTGGGATTGGTCAGTCCAATACTCTTCGTCACATCAATCGGTTCGCTCATCGCCCTCTAGAAATCAAATCCATGCAACAGCGTAGCAACCGTCAAGTGCATAACTTGCATGGCGAAATTCACTCCAGGACACATCCTCCTCCCACTACCAAAGGGTATCAGCTCGAAGTCTTGTCCCCTCAGATCAACATCCTTGTGAGTCGTGAGGAACCGGTCCGTTCGAAACTCGTCTGGGTACAACTAGACCCTCGGATCGCACTGGATCTTCGACACGTTGACGATGAGCCTGGTGCCCTTGCCAACGACCCAACAGCGACGATGCAGTCTTCCATCGATTGGCGGGGTACAGACGGAGGGTTTCCTTGATGATGGCTTTGAGTTAGTGTAGGGTGGGGAGATCAGCCTCTTGAACTCGTCGATTTTTGCCGATGTGGTTGTCTAGCTCGTATTGGGCGGTTTTCAAGACGTCGGGGTGGTTGACATCGACGAGTAAGGCTATGAGCCAGGTCATTGTCACTATGGTTGCAAAGTCATAATCAACATACGAGGTGTACAAGATATTGTATTTAATTATTATTTTTGTCTACTATAATATTACAGGATAGACATAATGACATATGAGATTTATTTATTTATTACTTTCATACTTTGTCATTTGATTTGGAAGAATCAAAACATGACATATGTTTTTGCACTGAAAAAAATTATGATTTTAGTATCTTTCTTCCTGTCTATTTACCCAATTATAAAACATAGTAAAAAGGTATATATATATATATATGGGGAGTTCTATGGTACCCCGGGTGAAATCTGGGGTACCGCATACCTTGAGTAAGAAAACGATATCCAGAACCTGAATTGACTGATCTTTCGGACATGATACTATAATCTAACCCATAAAGATTAAAATCTAGGTCTTAATTCTCTAAATCTTATACCCCAAGATCAATTTAATTAGAAACAATAATCGACGGTTATGATTCGTCCAAATACAGGCAAAAAAATCAATGCACCATCTTAGGGTTTATAGTTTAGATTTAGATAATTAGGACCTAGGGTTCACTCATTAAGGGTTAGGGTATAGTATCATGCCCAAAAATCATGCTAATTTGAGTTCTAGATAGCGTTTTCATACTCAAGGTATGCGGTACCCCGGATTTCACCCGGGGTACCGTAGAAGGCACCATATATATATATATATATATATATATATATATATATTATGATGTAATTAACAAAACAAACCCTTCCATCTCTTTCTATTCATATATTTTCTAATGAGGACTGCAAATGAGGTGAACTGTTCATGAGTGTCTTAACGTTGGCTTGAAAAAAATATCATTTGAAACTCTAGCTACTAGTTTATTAACTAGTCAAGTTTGATCTAAACCTTTTTCAACTCGAGAGGCTCGCGGCTCAGTTTGACTTAGTGGTTTTTTGAGTTAAACTCGTGAGTTAGCTCGTATTGAGTTCATGAGAGGTTCAACCGTTGTGGCTAGCATGCAACTTAACTACCGGCTTATGAACTAATCGATCTATATCTTATAAGTTTCCTTTGTTGACAATTCATAAGTTTGTTATAGTATATGAAATATGAAATACGATTATGATGAAAGATTAACTATTATTTTCTCATCATATCATACGTGACATATAATTATTAGAATATTTAACCGATAAATTATTTTTAAGTTCGGTTTAAGGATTCAAGTATTAAGAATAAATGAATTAAGTTCGAGCTGAACTCACGACCTTATTGATGAGTCAAGCTCGACAAGAGCTCATGCGATCATTGACAAGTCGTGCTCGAGTTGAGTTCGAGACATATACATGAGCCAAACTCTTAGTAAACGATCCGAGCTCAAACTCGATTCAACTAGACTCCGCTCGATAATATATGCGCCGAGCTCGAACTTGACTCGTTTCTTGACAAGCTAAGTCCGAAATAGACAAAACTCGACTGGATTCATCTAATTTGCATCCCTATTTCATCCAAAATGCCCACTTAAGCTACTACTATTTAGCATCTCCCATACTTCGACCAAGATTTCTATGAGCTACAAGTGTTGTCACCTTCCTCACCTAGACCAATAATTGGATTTGAAATATTTATTTCTATTGATTGATTGTATTTTACCCTTATAATAGTGATATATAGTTTATTATCAAAAGAAGAAAAAACGTGAGGCACGATTACACTATATTTATTTCTATTGCTTGATTGTGGGTCCAATCAGGTGACGTTTTCCCTCTCAAGATTGCCATTTCTGAACAGCCGGTAGATCTATTCAATAAGTATCTTAGCATTGATCAGTTTTCTCATATTTTGGTTAAGCTTGGACTTCTTGACATTCACTCCGCTTGAGGGGGAGTATTGGAATTCCTAGACACGTTTTTGTTCTTTTTGACTAGTTTAGGGATCTCATTGTAACTGCGCCATCCCGTGTTTGTGTTGATAGGGATCGACTTCTGTCAGGTATAAAAGAGTAAGGGTTACACGCCTAAAGCTCTAAGAAAACCTAATCAAATAATAAAAGAACAACCGAGAACTCACATTCTCCATACGTGGACTAGTCCGTTTTATTCATGAACGGAGAAACTACGTAAAATCGTGTTGTTCATTCTATATTATTTTTGGATTTTTACAGTCCGCCGTAAAAATTGATGAAAATTCAAAAAACTCGCCCGATATGCAAAATATATATTGAAAAAGTGAGACGTACCTAGTGTAAGGTCGGAGGCGACAATGATGGCTGGACGGTGGCAGGGAGGCTCCAAATGTTTGACGACTCTTCTTTAGTAATTTTTTGGGAGTGGAAGTGAAGTTATAAATGTATGATTTATTAGAAATGGATTTCAAAAAAAGGAAATTTCCAAATAAGAGTTAGAGATAAATAGTAATTATGCTCACGATAAATAGTTGAAATTGATTGCGTTGAATGTGATTGATGTTGTTATAAACGCGCTACTACAGATTGGGAAATCGCTAGGAACGTTAAAGCAAGAATACAAAAGCGAGAATCGAAAACACGACACACGATTTACGTGGTTCACTAACACGGTGTGCGTTAGCTAGTCCACGGGAGAGAGAGAGTAAGTCTCATTGTAGTCAACTCCTTCCCCCTGCGAGAAGCCTCGTGCAACCACCCGAGCTTTAAATTTAATGCCCTCTTCAGAAGTGATTCCTTCCTTCTTCTTGTACATCCACTTGTTTGTAATAATCTTCCTTCCCTGTGGTCGTTTGACGAGCTCCCAAGTCTGATTCCTATCATGGGATTCCATCTCATTTCCCATTGAGTCAAGCCACTGATCAGCTTCGCCACCCGAAACGGCTTCTCTATAGGTCTGTGGCTCACCTGCATCCACCTCTTCAGCAACCTGAAATGAATACGCCATCATGTCCTCGAAACCATACCTCTTTGGAGGTACTCATGCAGTCGCTCTCTTCGGTCTACCGAAAGCTATAGACTGTTGAGCTCCTGCACTGAACTTTGACGTTTCTGGCTCTGTAGAGACATCCTCATGTTGATCTTCTCCACCTTGGTGCTCAAACTCGCTCTCATTGAGAGTTTGCAGCTCCACCTGCTTATAAACATAGACTTCTCATCAAATATCACATTTCTACTGAGTATAACTCGATGCTCAGAAGGTGACTAGACTCGAAATCCCTTAACTCCATCTCCGTAGCCCACAAATACACCCTTCTTTGCCCCCCTTGGGTTCAGTTCAAGGTTGTCAAACCGGTTTATGCCAGTGTGCCTGTTTAGCAAGTGGAATGGTTCGACCGGTGGTACATATCGGTTTGTGTCGGTTCATGCCGGTCAATATTACAAATAAAATTATAAATACTCATATTTAAACATGACATTTAACGTCAATTCTTAAACATTTATACTTGAATCCAACAAATAACATCAATATTTAACTTTTATACTCATAAAATAAATAATAAAATTATTTTTATCAATTAGACTCACTAAAATAAGGCCATTTTACATAGAGATTCGTATATCGATCATGCCGGTTATACCGGTAGTGTCACGCCGGTTTTATGACCGGTATCGGTTCAACCGGTGACACGCCGGGCGGCGTGACAACCATGGTTCAGTTTACCCTCATCCATATGATAATAAACAGGACACCCAAAAGCTTTTCAGTGAAGAATAATCAGCAAGCTTACCATACCACACTTCATAAGGAGTCTTAAACTCGGTAGGTGTGTGAGGTCCACGGTTGATCAGGAAGCACGCCATGTTTACTGCTTCTACCTAGAATCTTCTCTCTAGTCTAGCATTAGAGAGCATGCACCGTGCTCTCTCCAACAATGTCTGGTTCATCCTTTCTGCAACGCCATTCCGCTGGGGTGTATCTCTAACGGTCTGATGACGGGCAATCCCTCCATATCCTTGCAGAATTCCTTGAACTCAGAATTGCAAAACTCTAGACCATTGTCCGTTCACAACATCTTGATCTTCTTCCTGGTCTGATTCTCCACCAATGTCTTCCACTGCTTGAACTTCGTGAAAGCCTCAATTTTCTGCTTCATCCTGAAAATCCAAGTAAATCTCGAATAATCATCAATAATAGATAGAAAATACATGCTGCCTCCAATGGATTCAACTCGTGAAGGACCCCAACAATCAAAGTGGAGGTAATCCAGTATCCCCTTCGTCCGGTGGATACCCTTCTTGGGAAACTTCCTGCGATGTAGCTTCCAAAACACACAATGCTCACAGAATTCCAAATTATGCACCTTGTACCCGCAAAGAAGATCCCCCTTTGACAGAACTTGCACCCCTCGTTCACTCATATGCCCCAGTCTCATGTTCTAAAGAGTGGTCATATCTTCCTGATGAACGTGAGACTATGCAACTGTAGTAGAACCAGACAACACAGACCCTTGTAATGCATACAAGGTCTCACACTTCACGCCCTTAAGCACCTTCCTTGAACCTTTGTAGACATACACAACTCCACCTTTTCCTTTGAAGCTGAAACCCTTGTTGTCGAGTAGACTCAAGGAGATCAGGTTCTTTGTCATTCGTGGAACATGTCTGACATCATTCACGGTACAGAACCAACCATCATGTGCCCGAACCTTTATTTACCCAATTCCAACAACCATGCAGACATCT